AGCTCTGGGGACTGCACACGACCGCAGCGCCATACATGAAGCCTGCTGTCAGTGGGGAGGCAGCACTGGCTTGCCTTGGCTCAGCCCTATTGAAGTGTTGACACCCTGCTGCCTTCCCTCAGGCTGGGGGGGGCCATGCTGGCTTCAGGACAAGCTTGCTGGGCTGGACAGATGCATCTCAGGGTTCCCTGTGCCACCTGGATCCTCTATGGGGGACTTGCTTGGGGATATGCCCCTCGCCAGGAGTCTGGCTGTTTAGCAGCTGCAGTATCTGTAAGTGCAAGATGTGGGGAAGGGACGTCTCGTCCAGAGCTGGGGCTTTCTTCAGGTATCCGAGGCCTCAACATAGCCCCGTCTCGCTGCCCGGTGCAATGCCTGCTCCACGTCGCATGCTAGGAGCTGCCGTCTGATTCTTAACCTCGCACTCTGCTCTCCCCCACCTAGCACGCGGCTGGCAATGCTGAGCAACAACCTGACGCACTGGAAGAAGCTCCCGCCTCTGCCGTCTCTGACCAGCCAGCCACATCAAGTGCTAGCGAGTGAACCCGTCCCCTTTGCAGACTTGCAGCAGGTGAGGAGCTCCCTAGACCAGACTGCGGGTGTCCTGTGAGCCAAGCCATGGAGTCCCTCCCAGGCTAGACTTATTCCCTCCAGGCAGTGCTTAGTGATCCAACAACTCGTGGTCTTCTGGTTGAAGGCGCTCATTGCTCCTCAGTCATTGAGGAGCTTCCCAAGACTCTGCCTCCATGTCTCCTAGATCAGTCTCTTCCTGTTTCTAGCCTTACTGAGTGTAACCCAGTGATTCCCTTCACTCCAAACTATTACAAGCACTGGAACATGGTGTATCCTATAAAGATCCTGCCTTAGGCATTTTTCCTAGCTTCCCAAAGCCTGGATCAAGTCTGGCCAGGTTAAAAATAGCTCTGCGGCCTTCATTTTAATTACCACAGATCTAGATTCTTTCTTCATAGGCTTGTAGGAAACTCAGGCTGGAAGGGACCTTGTGAGGTCATCTAGTCCAGCGCCCTGCTTAGCGCAGGATTGTCCGCAACTAAACCATCCCAGCCACATGTCTTTCCAACCTGCTTTTGAAAACTTCAAGGATGTAGACTCCACAGCTTCTCTAGGTAGCCTATTCCAATGTTAGACCACTCTTGGAGTCAGGAAGTTCCTCTTCATCTCCACTCTAAATTTACCTTGCTGCAATTTGAGACCATTGCTCCTGGTTCTGCCTCCTACAGCCACACACAAGTCTCTCCCATCCTCTTTATAATCATCCTCCAGGTATTTAAAGATCGTGATCAAATCCCCCTTCAGTCTTCTTTTCTCCAGACTCGGTAACCCTAACTCTTTCAGCCTTTCCTCGTTAATCTTGCTTCTCCAGGCCTCTAACCATTTTTGTTGCTCTTTGCGGGACTGTTTCCAGTCTGTCCACATCCTTCTTGAAGTGCGAGGCCCAAAACTGGACACAGTGCTCCATGAAAGGCTACCCCAGTGCTGAGTGGAGCAGAAGAATCACTGCCCTCAACTTGCATGTGACACTCCTGTTAATACAACCCAGGATGCTGTTGGCCTGTTTTGCACACTCTGGGCTCTTATTCAGTTGGTTTCACTGCCACAAATTCCCCTAACACCTGAGAGCCAGAATTTATTCTTCCTTGGGCCTCAACACCCTACAGCAAGGTCTGCAGAGCTGAGCAATGCCCCACCCCCTCCAGAGGCCTGGCCAGGCGGAAGAGGTTCTGTAGCACTATCTGTTGAGCAACTGGGTTGCCCAAGAAGGGGCAGGCTCATCCCTTACCGTCGTCTTAGCTCATCAGAGGGAAGCGTGGGGACACAGGTGCATGGATCTCATTTCAGAGGAGGAACTGTTTCTGAAGGGCAGCGGCTGGTGCAGTCTGACTTAGGTGTGGAAGAGCCAAAAACAATTAGCAAAACTGCTCCAACTCCACTCCTTCCTCCAGAGTTAAAGTTGAAGAGATAACAATGTACTAGCTGCTGCCCTTTTTGAAATGCCACCCTCTGTTCTCCTTCTGAAGGTGTGCTGTATGTCCACGCTCTAAGACCGCAGTCGCATTTACCTCTGGGTCATTTAGCTAGGGTTTTCCTCCAGAGCAAGACAGTGGTGGTGTCTGAAGCAGATGCACAGCCGACCCTCCAGAGATGTGTAGTAGGGGCAGTTGCAGAGCTTCGCCTCTAGCAGGCGGAGGACCATAGCCTGTTGGCGTGGAGGAAATGCCCCACTGGGGTGAAGCTGACTGGTTACATGGGAGTAGTTACCCCTCACTTCCTGGGAGAGTTTGGCCATGGGGCTAGTCTAGATGACTTTGTAAAGTCCCTTCTGGCCCCACTTCCCTACAATCTTATAGACAGACATGTGTCTAGGATGGTTTAGTCAGGGACAATCCTGCCTTGAGCAGGGGGCTGGACTAGATGACCTTGTGAGATCCCTTCCAGCCAGACTTTCTTATAATCCTGTGACTTAAGTCAGTGTGGCAGGGCTGTGCACCATGCGTCTGCTCCACTTTTGCTCTGAAGTAAGTGTGTCATGGCCACAACCCAAGAGGGGTGAAGACACCACTGATTTAAAGCCAGTGGCTCAGCTCTGTGGTCCTGTTCCTGCTTATGCCGGGGTGATCTGGAAACCTTCCCTTGTTATCCTGCCCCAGGAGCAGAGGCCCAGCATCACTCGGAGCAGAAGCCTTATAGCACACACCACGGTGGGGCAGAACAAGGCCTGATGCATGTGGCTGATCCTGGAGAAACATCCTGGGCTCTGCATGCTCCTTCAGCACTTTAAAACCAACCCTGTGGATGCTCCTGCCTCTGACTGCACTGGGTGCCTGCAGTCCTGCTTTTCTTTGCCTTTCCTAGTTGCCACAGTACATGGCTGTAGACGGCTTGGCTCCTACGAAGTCCTGCCGGCCTTGATTTAGGAGGAAGCAATCTAGGGAGACAGCTGTCCCTCATCCACCGCACCCATGTGAGGCTGCTTAGCAGCTGTAAACCGCTGTCTCATTAGAGGGCCAAGCTCATTAATGATCAAACCAGGAAGGCAAAGTGAATGCTTGCATCTGTCACCACAGGTTAATAGGAAGGCTTGTGCGGACCCGCTTGGACTGGGCTTCTATGGGATTTCTGACCCCCGTGGGCCTTGGCCGGGTCTGTACCTGTATGAGAAGCCAGAAACAATGGTAGCCTGGTGGCACTTGTTGCTGAATAGTGCTGAGCCCAGCACAGTGTTTGTGGGAGCTGTGCTGGGAGAAAGGCATCATTCAGATAGAGATAGAGGTCATGATGCTTGACCAGAGCAGTGTTTGGAGCAGTTCTTGTGTTGGGGGAGCTTGAGTCTGACTCTTGCTGTCATCTGTTTTCTACTCCTCTGTGCATTTCCAGCTGAATCCAGCCTTCCTTGTGGCACTAAACAGCTCCCCCGTCCCCTCGGATGTGGCTGAGACAGGAGCTGAGCACCCTTCCTGTGGAAACCCTGTGTGCATTTGTAAAATGCCTTGTGGCGAAGACTTAAACTTCCCATCCTCAGCTGCTGCTCCTGCCGCCTACCAGAAACACTGCCCCGAAGCCACAAGCCCCAGGGGGCTGCCATAAATGACCCTCCTTTTTCTTATCTTGGATATTTTTCCTTATCTTAGATATTTGGATATCTGACCACCTCTTCCTTGGCACCTATGTGGAGAACACCAGCTCCTGGGCTTTCTGCTGGGCCTTGTGACCCTGCTTCCCCACAGGGCAAGAGCTCCTGGGCTGGATTCTCCCTCCCTTGAGGCAGTGCTTGGGCAGCTATCTGCAACTGCAGCTGACCCCAACCCTCCATGTGCTTGGGTTATCAACAGGCAGCATTTCCCCTGGGGGTGGAGGCGAGCCTGCTTTCCAGCCAGCTCGGCCACAGGGGCTCTGAGACTTCTGTACACCACAGGGGTCAAGGGAGGCACCTGGCAGCTTCAGCTCAGGGTCTCATTCTCCCAGGGACTGGAGGCTGGGGGTGGGGGTGTGACGACATGGAGAGCCCTATATGGGTTGTAGCTGCAGCCGTGGAGGGGAGATGTTTGGCTGGGGCCTTGACTACCTGGAGTCACTGACTGCAGAGAGGCTGACCAGCAAGCTATTCAAGCTGCCTCTTGGTGGGTACAGCCTGGAAATGCACCTGCCTCTTCCCCTCCCTGCCCCTGCTGCAGTAACCAGCCCTCTTAGGCCAAGGCCCCTTGGTCGTTGGCATTGCAGCCAAACACCGGGTCTCTGGGGTATGGTTCTATTTCCCTTTCCCATCACAGTCCTTCATGTGCGTCTCTGCTTGTCCCCAGGTGTCCCGGATAGCCGCCTACGCCTTCAGTGCACTCTCACAGATCCACGTGGATGCAAAAGAGGAGCTTGTGGTGCAGTTTGGGATCCCCTGAGCTGGCGCCCGTGCCTGCCCGCACCCCCTCGCTCTTTCTGTTGCCCTCTTCCTCTCTCCCACCGGCACCCTGCTGCCACAGAACTTGTACAGATCCCCCCATTTCCTACTAATTGCCCAGGAGACCGGCACCATCGCCCAGGCCCCGCTGCTGTAGGAGGCCAGACCTGGTCCCAGGCTTTCCTTTTCTCTCATGTATGTGTGTGTGTGGGGGGGGGGCAGGCCAGCATAGCTGCGGGGGGGGGGGGAGGGGGGATGTTGTATTTCATAGGAAGCCTGTATTGTTGAGCACAACGGGAAGCATTTCTCCAGCCCCCGGGTGCCCTTGTTTCAAAGATTGGGGACAAGACGGACTCCTGGCTCTTGGCAGGTGGGGGTGGGCTTCAGTATCCCTCCCAGTTGCCAACTGCTGGTTCAGGGGATGCTGCACTTGAGACGATGCCCCCCAGGCCCTCGTATATTCCTGGAGGGCTGGGCTGGTTGGTGTGTGTGTGACAAAGGCATGGAGCGGACCCCACTCGTGGCACTCCACGCAGAGCTCTGTCTGCCTGACGCCCGCGGCTCTGCACGCCCGGGCCTTTCAGTTGGATTTTTTTTTTGTTGTTTTTGTTTTTTAATTTTTTTTTTGGCACCGTAGATAAAGCCCTTTCATTCAGCCCCAGGTCCCTGCTGTGTTCTTTCCCTGCTGCGAGGCAGGAGCTCCCTCGGCGCTCGAGGGATGGAGGGATGCAGTGAGGACTTGGGAACGTGGTCCCTGCTTTGGCTGCTATTGGAAGTGGTCACTTGGTCTGATCTCCTTGGGCTTCTGCAGCCTGTGTTAGCTGGCTGGCTCTTTTCTGTGCCAACTCATTTCCTGGTCCCTGGATAAGCTTGGTGCCAATGCTGCAGCTGCCAGGAGGATTGAAATCATCGATACCCAGGTGCTGTTGACAGGAGGCCTGTGTTGGTTTCCAGAGCAGGATACCTGGGAAAGACTAGATCTGTGACGCTGGACCAGGTATGGATCATCTCAGCATGGTGGGTCTCACTCTGCTTCTGGCCTGGAGTGCTGGCTTCTCTGTTTCATCCCCTGAGCCTCTGCTGTTGCCATTGGGCAGTGGCACCCTCAGGCCTGGGCATGAGGCAGGCAGGAGAGTGAGAGTCCCTGCCCTGTGTTAGCAGCGTTGCATGCCTCTCCCCACTCTCAGTTGCTTGTCCTTGTGTCCCCGTGCTGCTTCTGGCCTGCTGCCTGAGCAGAGTCTGGGCCTGTGATAGTGGGTGAATATCTCTGTGCTTGTTTTGCCAGCTGGGAGGAGTGTCCAGCTTTTTTCAGTGCCCCCTGCCCCTTCCCCAGGCCAACATTGCAGCTCAGAGCTGGGGGAACCGGCCCCCCCAAGGCAGCAAGGCAAACAGGGGTTTGCCCCAGTCCCTGGCTACCTTGGGCAGCTGCATTGGTGTGAGCGCAATGATCAAGCTGCATTATGAAAGCAAGGGGGTCCCTGCCCTACTGCTCCCATGGGCAGAAACCCAATTCCCAGGCTCTGCTTTCCTGGCTGCCTGATCCCTATTTATGCCACCTCCTGCTTTGCTGAAAATGTCCCCCAGCTCCGTTTCTAGAGCAGTCCTTCCACTCTGCAGTGGAGAAGCCTGGGCTACGGCTGCAGGTGCTGGGTTCTGATCCTAGACCCCTGTGCGCTAAGGTGGCTGATCTCAGCTGGACATCCAGACCCAGCCATAGGTGGAAATGGCAGGACTGCTGCAGCTCCCTGCATTGGAGCAGAGCAGCCTACATCTCCCCCAGCACATGTGGCTGGGCACTGGCAGAGCCTCATGCTCTGAAATTCCTCCAGCCCTGGGAGCCTCTGGGAGGGAAGGGGGAAACCCCCAGGTTCTTCACTGAGCAAAACAGACCAGCTAGGGGCAGGTTTTAGCAGGGAAGGTAATGAACCTTAGGAGCAGCTTTTGGGGAGGGGGAGAATCGCTAGCAGCAGCTGCCCTTGTGAAATGAGCTCAGATTCAACCGGGAGCAAGGGTGCTGGGACAGCCTGGGGGCAGCCCCTGGGCTACTCGGGCAGGGCAGGCTGGTGTTTGTGTCTTAAGGGTCATTGCCACTGGGGGCTAAGTCTGAGCCGGATGCATGTGCATTGCTGAGTGTTTAATAGGACGCTGCCACAGGGTGGCAGGAGCAGAGTACACGGGCACCAAGCACGATGCCCTTCCAGCCGAGTTCTCAGGGCAGCATCTCGCAACAGAGCAGGCAGGAGCACGCGAACCCAAGGGGCTGGGCTGGGACCCTTATGTCCCCCACTGCTCTGGGTCCTGTGTTCTCGTCCCAGCTGGCAACCTTTAGGCTCTGGTGGCAGAAGTCCCTTGTGGGGGACAGGTGCCTTAATGTGGGTGCGGGGCCCTATCTGGAGCTCTTCCTTGACCCGATGCCCTAAGGAGCCTCTGCAGGAAGGCGCCTTCCCTCTGGGTGGGCTGGTCTCAGCCAGGCGCAGAGCTGAGTCCTGTACCCCTCTACCCCTCCCGGCTATGCTGCTGGCTCCTGTGGTCCTGGGCCAGCTGCTGGGACTCAGAGCAGCAGGAGGGCTGCTCTGTTGTGCCAGGGAGGGGTGAAACTAGCCCCAGTAGGGCCCATCACCCCGTCCCCTCACTGCCTACAGGGTCCCATGCCCTTCTCTGTAGCACTAAGTCCTTTGTTTCTGGGGCTGCATAGGGGAGAGGCAGATCCCCAGCCTGGTAGCTTGCTCTGGTAGCTGGCTTGCTCTGTTCCCTGCAGTTGCTGCCTGGAGCAATCTGTATCCCCATCACCTGGGCAGCTGCAAGGCTGGCAGGGGCAGCTCCTGCCACTTGCTGGAAGCAGGGAGCTGGGGGTGGCTTTAGCCAGAAAGGGGCTGTAATGGCAGGGAAGAGCCTTGTGGTTTACAGGCTCCTGCCAGCTACCTGCACCCCAGGGAATGATGCCTGCACCTGCCAGCCTGGGACAGGCTGCCTAAGGGCAAGGTGGATGGAAAGGGGCCAGCCTCCTTGCTGTGGCTGGATCCTGGGGCAAGGTACTTCTGGGCTACTGGCCCTCCCCTACTCTGCACCAAGCCACGCAGGTGGGTTCTGGGCTGTGGATCCTGCTTTGTGCCTCTGCCCAGCAGTCTCTGGGGCTGCTGTGCTGGGAAGGGGATCATGACTTCTGGTCATGGGCTTATGGCCAGGGCTGCTAGGAAACTCCTTGAGATGGCGAAGGACACATGAGCTTTCTGGAGGTGCATGGTGCTGGTGGGTTGTTGCCCTCTAGGATTGGAGCTGCCTTGGAGATGGGGGTTGCCACAGTGCAAGTAGGACTCATCTCAGGCTAAAGCAGGAGCCTGAGACACCTGGGTCCTTGCTGTTGCTACCCCTGTTCTCAGGACAGCCCCAGCTCTCTGGCACTGACTCAGCCCAGCCCGTGGTCACTCACGCTCTGCTCCACAGCACGGCGCGAAGGGTTTATTCTTATGTCCCATGGGGCTTTCAGGCTCTCCAGGCTGGAGAGGGGGCCATGGACCAGTTGTGGATCTGCAGCTGTGGTGCCCGGCCTGAGGCCTCCTCAGGAATGCTCTCTCTTCTTGGCCTTCTTCGGCTGGGCGTTCATGCGCTTCCAGATGGCGGCGGTGGAGCGGTCCTGCTTCGTCACGGCACTGAAGTCAAAGGACTTGAGCTGGGGCAGTGTGGACAGCACGTAGCTCCTGTGGGGGCATAGGGACAGGGCTGGCACCTGCAGTCACCAGCCGTGATTGCAGGTGGCCTGCAAGCCAGTGGCCCCGCTGCAGCCTGGCCCTTTGCTTTGGAGGGACAGACACGGAGCCACAGGGCAGTCTGCTGGGGAACGTGGCAGAGAGCTAGTCTTTAGCAAGCTCCAGTCCAGGCCCTGCGATGCCACAAGAGAGGCCTGGATGAGCATGTCCTGTGCCCACTCCCAGCTTGGCAGGGGCACCTGGGCAGTGTTGCGACACCCACCCCCTCTGCGGGGCTGCATGCAAGGCAGGGGGAGTCTGCAGGGGTGGCCCCCACCCTCTGGCTCCTGTGCCCCCATGCCCTGGGCTGGGGCAGGCAGAGCAATCCCTGGGGCTGGGCACATCCCTGGGTACCTGTAGCCCTTCTCCTCCTCGATGGGGTTGCCGTGCAGCGTGAGGCTGCGCAGGTGGGGCAGGACGGCCAGCTTGTCCACCTCGTCCAGGCCCTGGATGCTGTTCGCGTGCAGCTGGAGGCAGTGCAGGTTGCGGTACGTGGTCAGGATCTGCGGAGCCCGAAGCCTGGGGGTTAAGCGGGGGCGCATGGGGAGGCCCCGTGACAAAGCGTCCCCCTCCTGGCAGCCGGGAAAGTGAGGCATGGGATAGG